ACTACTCACTACTACTACAGCACTACTACTGCACTGTCACTACTACTACTGTCACTACTACTACTGTCACTACTACTGTCACTACTACTACTACTGCAACTACTACTGCTAATCACTACTTGCTACTACTACTCATCACTACTCACTACTACTACTGTCCACTACTACTACTGTCACTACTACCACTGTCACTACTACTACTACTGTCACTACTACCACTACTCACTACTACTACTGCACTATCACTACTACTACTACAATCACTACTCACTACTACAGTCACTACTACTGTCACTACTACTACTACTGTCACTACTGCTACTGTTGCTACTACTACTGTCACTACTACTACTGTCACTACTACTACTGTCGCTACTACTGCTGTCACTACTACTACTGCTGTCACTACTACTACTGTCACTACTGCTACTACTGTCACTACTACTACTACTGTCGCTACTACTACTGTCACTACTACTACTACTACTACTGTCACTACTACTACTGTCACTACTACTACTACTGTCACTACTACTACTACTGTCACTACTACTACTACTGTCGCTACTACTACTGTCACTACTACTACTACTACTGTCACTACTACTGCTGTCACTACTACTACTACCACTGTCACTACTACTACTGTCACTACTACTACTGTCACTACTACTACTGTCACTACTACTACTACTGTCACTACTACTACTGTCACTACTACTACTACTGTCACTACTGCTACTGTCGCTACTACTACTGTCACTACTACTACTGCTGTCACTACTACTACTGTCACTACTACTACTACTGTCGCTACTACTACTGTCACTACTACTACTACTGTCACTACTACTACTGTCACTACTATTACTACTGTCACTACTACTACCACCACCACTACTACTACTACTACCACTGTCACAACTACTACTACTACTACTACTACTTCTTCTATCTACTACTACTACTACTACCACTACCACTCGCACTGTCACAACTACTACTACTACTTCTACTACTGCTACTACTACTACCACTGTCACAACTACTACTACTACTACTACTACTACTACTACCACTAGGTACGACAGTATACCTGACCGCCAGGCCAACTCATTAATATATTAAACAGTGTCATGCGAGCTTCATACAAAGAGTCCAGGAACGGATGGCAAGCTGTTCCGAATGTAACGACGAACGCCGAGGCAGACTGAGTGCCATTTGACAACAGAAGTTCTATTCCACCTCATAATAGACGTTACAAACAACATTTCAAATCGGCTTAACAGTAATTCGAGCCAAGCATCAGGGCATTCATACATACGGTGCCCTGAATACAGCGCTTATTGCTAATCCGAACTAATCCAGTCTGATTTATTCCAAATCGCTTCCGATACCTATTCCTACCATTTAAACGCGATCGGCCTAATCACCTTTGATTGAAATAGGGTACACGGTTGATGGGAGCCAAGCCGATCACTCAGCCCGTTGTTAAGATTTGTGGTTGACTTGGCAAACGAAATACATCTCTGACCTCACCTGCGAAGGAAAGAAGGACGTGCTGTTTTGTAATGGACGTGTATTTGTCAAATGATGGGTGTTGAGTTCAAGGAATTTGCCTATCATTGTCGGATCATGAAGTGTTGTTGTTTGGTTGCGGGACACTGTTATGGAATGGATCGGAACCAATCTACGCCCATTGGATGTGTGTATCTGAGACATGATTTGTGTGTTGACCGATTCAGGATTTGAACTATTTTGGAAGTAGTGCTACAAGTTGTTTGTTCTTTCAGGTTTAAGTATATTGTTTTGTGTCGTGTGTTTTATTTATATCATAATGACGAACTTGTGTTCAACTTTGCAAACCCTTCACCGAAACTTGCTGTCGGATTCCGAATCGGAGTTCGACGATGTTGTCATGTCGAAACTACGTTCCCCGATTATCGCCGAGCATCGCCGACGGCATGAGAGCTCCTCGAGTGATGGGAAGAGTTCGACAGATCGGATGTTTATTCCTAAATCACGTGATCGATTCAGAAGCAGTTCGTGTGACACCCGACAGCACCCTGGGAGACCGGAGTACATACATTGTAGATGTTGCGGATTGTTGAAGAAGGCGAAGGTGTCGTTTTCGGATGATGTCGATGATGACGACACACCCGAGGAAAGAAGAAACCCAAGAATACCGAATGGGTGTGAGACTAAAACTATTCCACGACGGTCCGGATCCTGTGATCCGAGTAGTAGAAATAGAGACCAATTTCAAGCAGTGGTAAAACCCGGACAAACAGTATCCGACACTGAGTTTTTAGCACGGAGACAGCCGCGCACACTACCTAGATATGAAGGTAAGGTATGCATTAACTTTGTATGTAGATATTTATTCTGTGACAGAGTCAGGCAATGCATGATGACTACAGTCCGTTTGGCTCAAAAGCGGACCGATGAATTGCAATCTAACTCGAAAACTAATAAACATAACATACTCAATGAAACGCTGATCATAATCAAAACATCATACCCACTCTGTGAGGTTTTAGCAGAATGTTTGTCCTAAAAACAAAAAAGTTGTTTAACAAACTATCATTAAAATATTGACACAGTTCACTGTTTGTTACGAGGGAGGAGTGCAGAGAAAGGGACAGCCAGGTGTTCGAGAAGCACGTTCACAGACAAAGATATTTATTCATTAACCTGTGCTGTGCCGTCTCCATCCGTTCTCGAACACCTGGCTGTCCCTTTCTCTGCACTCCCCCTCGTAACAAATAGTGAACTGTGTCAATATTTTAATGATAGATTGTTAAACAACTTTTTTATTTGTAGGACAAAAATTCTGCAAAAACCTCACAGAGTGGGTATGATGTTTTGATTATGATCAGCGTTTCATTGAGTATTTTATGTTATTGGTTTTCGAGTTAGATTGCAATTCATCGGTCCGCTTTTGAGCCAAACGGACTGTAGCTCCACACGACTGACGGGACTGTGAGGCAAGGCTCTCTGACTTGGTTTATACATACAATTGTGTTCTAAATGCGTAGATCGGTGCTCATGACGTCAACCACTAGGTCGCCTGATGCACACACGCTGAAAATTCAAACATCGACCTTTAGCATGCCCTTTGTCCCGCATTCAGAGCGCATTACTTTTTAAAACAAAATGTGATGTCATTTTTTAATCTAAGTAATAGTTTCTAGCTTCTCAAATAATAGAAAAGTTAGTGTTCATTCTATTGTGCTGGACACACTTATATTATAAACTTCCGCGTCAAATTCACGCTCCAGGTCCAGTTCATTCTTGTAGTGCTTTCCATCTTTGTGCATCAAGACCCGTTAAGATCCGGGTTAGAATTGATCTTCAGTAGCCCATGCTTGTCGTAAGATGCGACTAACGGAATCGGGTGGTCAGGTTCGCTGACTTGGTTTACCCACATGTCATCGGTTCCCAATTGCGAAGATCGATGCTCATGCTGTTGATCACTGGATTGCCTGGTCTAGACACGATTATCTACAGACCACTGCCATATAGCTGGAATATTGCTGAGTGCGGAGTAAAACTAAACTCACTCACTCATTCTTGTAAGAGAAACAGAATCTGTTGCTAAATATTAATGTCTTCAGTATTTGCTTGACGTATAATGCCCTATCATAGACGATTGGAGGGTTAATCTATCAACCTCGGCTGCGAAGCCTCAAACGGGCGATATACTGATTTTTATGTCACTTACCTGTTCAAAATATCGTGCATTAATCACATTTCACCGTTTGAGCGTAAATATGTGCGTGCGTGCGTGTGTGTGTCTGTGTGTTCAGTCTACTTAATGACTTCGCCGCAATATACTTTAAACATGGATACCTCACTTAGACACATTATACTATCATCGAGCCGTCAATACCTTGTTTTATCCTGTTAGTACCAAGGCCAGGCAGAGTAACAATAATTTCCATCTTTTAACATCATTTAGTATATGACGCTCTCCGGGCTCCAATGCTTGTAAGAGGCGACTAACAGGATCGGGTGGTCAGGCTCACTTACTTGGTTGACACATGTCATCGTATCCCAATTGCGTAGATCGATGCGCATGAGGCTGATCACAGGATTGTCTGTCCCAGACTCGATTATTTACATACCACCGCCATATAGCTGTGATATTGCTGAGTGCGGCATCAAACAAATTGAAACAAACAAACAAATCTTTCAAGTCCATGTTGCCAGGTAGTGATATTATTTCATCAACGATCACTCACTTAAGGCTTTCTTATTCTGCTACAGATGTCGTCAGTGACGGAGATCGACGGTGTCGAGGGCGACAACAGATACGTCATACAGGCCGACCACCTCCAGCACCACAAACGTCCTCACAACGACGTCAAAGGACAAACACGAGCCATGGGCATCGTCAACAAGACACCTCCTCTCTCACCGTCGCCGATGTCATGCCGCACGTTGTGCAGAAAGAAAGCAGACCCTGTGGTCTGATCCAACAACACCTTGACCTTCAACACCCTCCGGAGGGTGTTCCTGGGTCTACCTCAACGTCTGGATATAGGCATGGTGTGCAGGAATCACTTGCTCACTCCCCGAGTTGGACACACGATCAGTTTGTTAATGAAACAAGACATGCTAATGACACTGATATTCCCATAGAATTATTGCCAAGCTACATTCCCGAAGAACGATCTAGGAGTCGCAGACGTCCGAATGAATGCGATCCCGTCAAGAAACAATCGCATATTCAACGAGGTGTTTCCTTTAGAATCGCCGTTGACAATCAGGATGGACCAAATGATACGGGTTTAGAACAGTCACGTAATTACGCAAGTGAAGGTAGCCAATGGTGGTCGAAACCTCCACGCGAATCAGACTTTACATCAGAACGATCATCGAACCTTACTCGAACAGTACGTGAACATTTCCCAAAGGAGTCAGGACCTCCCAATAGATCACTACAATGGCAAACTGTCGCCAAACATCCCAATTCTGTATGTTCATTAGGAGGAACGATGAAAGAACATTCTCATCAACGTACATCTTCTCCAGCTGCAACATCACGTGTAACGGAACTCTCCACTAATACAGCGTCACGTGACTACAGCTGGGAGACAAACACACCTGCGCACAGTCCTCATCAAACGCCCTCTCGTTTAGCACCGCCTGATCCAACGGGGCTGGCCGTTTGCCAAGAACCTGGTCACAAGGAAGAACAGTCAGCAATGCCTAACACATCGCCAACGAAGAGATTACCCTTTCAGCGTACGTCTTCTCCAATCAGAGCACACCCTTGTCCAGCGGAACCTATTGCCAGCATCAAGAATGAATCGGAGGGTACTCTGTGGGAGCGTCGTCCTCGCACATCTTCTCTATCAGCACCATCACGCCCATCGCATTTGACAATAAGTAAATCCACGTATGAACAATCATTCCATCCCGAAACCTCTTCAACCCCACTCTGCAGCCGTCCCCCGAAACCTCCTCCAAAGGTCTCCCCAGACAAACCACCGCCACGTCCACCAAAACCCCTAAAGCTTCAATCGACCAGTCATAATATTTCCCCCGAAGGAAAATCCCCCACGAATGACGCGCAACCTGCTGAATGTAGTGATGAGCCGCCAGCTCTCCCTCCAAGGGGTAGACCACCCAGACAACCGACTGACAAACCACCAGAAAGACCACCAAAGTCATGGGTCATGGCTGTGCCCAGAGAGAGTGCCAACCCACCGCCCCTGCCCCCGAGGACACGCCGGTCTCAGTCTGCTGACAGTGTGTTCCGGAAACGGGAGGCATCCCCAGGGAAGGGGGAACAGAGAAGGCCTGCTTCAGAGGGTGAAAGTCAGAAACTGATCATGGAGGTTCTTGTGTGACTGAACTGGTACAAGGTCAAGGAAAGGTCACGGTCAAGGTCAAATGCAGGGTTACGGTCAAGGTCATTAGCATTATATTCACTCGTTAGTTTTATATGTTAAGAGTCATAACATAACACTGGATTCGCGAATAGTTCAAGGTCATATACAAATGTACTCCCAAGGGCACCAATAAGGTTAGTATGGGACTTAAAATACGTGACATATGTGGATATCGTGAACAGGGTGAGGGTCAATGTTATTTAGATAAAACATTACAAATAAGGCCATGGTTTGTTGGGATACAAACGTGAAGGATCAGGGACAGGTTCATGAAACAAATATTATTTATTGGTTTATTGCCAAATGAGAACGGGAATCACACCCAAGGTAGAGGGTTGCGTTGATTACCTCCGTCTGCATGGTTTTGTGAAACAAATGAAAATTTCATGAACTGAAGCAGTGGTGGTATTAACCGGCTGCCAACAGAACAACTAATTGATCAGAATATCAGTTGCTGATCTGAGCCTGTAAACTGGTCAAAAGATTCAATGTTAGACAAAAACCGTTGTGAGGCAAATATCTTTTCCACGGGCAATTTGCGCATCATTGGATGTTGTAATAAAAACAATGTATGTATATAACAGTATCATGCAATGTACTGTTTTCATTTAGTTCGTATTTTGGCTCAGTCTGCAACCTACCAACATACAAATATATATTGCATCTAAGTGGTGACTAACGGGATCGGGTGGTCAGGCTTGCTGACTTGGTTGCCACGTGCCATCGGTTCCCAATTGCGTAGATGGCTGCTTATGCTGTTGATCACTGGATTGTCTGGTCCAGACTCGATTATTTATATATGTATTATTGCCGAGCGCGGTGTTAAACAACAAAAAAGCAAGCAAAAAGCAACAACAACACAAAAAAACCCATCGCATCATATTTTGCCAATGATTATGCTTCAGGACAGGTCCAACAGAATTGCTTAAAACCAATTCCTCTCAGTTTGAATAAGACCAGATCCCGCCTGTATATATCAGATCACGTGCTACCAATGTACAAGACTAATTCCGAACTATAAAACCAGCTTAAAGGTCACATGCAACGTAAAACACAACTTTGCAGATTCTGATACCTTTCGGTATGGACTTACCGAAACAAAGCGTCAAAATGCAAATTCAACTTATAAAGTTGAAAAATAATAACGATGAAAAAACCGCGCGAAATCGGAGTTCAAACGTTTCACTAATTTTCCCCAGACTTTCTGGGAATACGGGTTTCAACAGCTGGGCTGCGCTCATAGCATGTGCGCAGTGAAATAGGTTCGCGCAACTTGGAAGCGGGCTGTCTGGTGAATACTCGGTGAAGGCTTTGGTGTGAGCTATTTTCATAATGTTTTGTTGATGTCTCACAGGCGCGAGCTTTTATATGTTATGACAGTAAATAAACTGTTTATATAATTTCATTTGTCTATTTCACCACACACGTTCTTCTTACCGAGTCACTTTCTCAGTTCGATACTTAAAAGCAATGTCATTATTTAGCGTTGACACAATTTCTTGCTGTGATATAGATATGTCGCTGTCACAGACAAAACTCAATGTCTTGTTTTATTGCCACCTGTGTGTCTGCCTGCCTGTCTGCTAATGACAATATTCAATACACAACTGCCATCACTGACCACATGCAATTTGAACTTAACACCAATCAGGCTATACACCATAAACAAAACGCATTGATTTATGGCCCGAGTTCGGTCTCTGTCACATTATGTAATTACACAGACAGGCAGGTGTGATACTTGAACACATGACATGTTATGATGTCTGTTGATTGCAAAATGTTATACACAAAAATGAGCATGTATTTACAAAACCCAACATCTCTATATATACACACACAATGAGCCGTGAAGGCGGCATCTGCTAATGAACCAGCCGTTACACTTGAGTGCACACCCACCCGCTCTGACTGGGTTCGGTATCCCGGCTGCTTGTTTCGAGGGAGGTAAAACCCAAGTACAAAATATTGCACTTTTGATTTGCGATTATACGCTTATAATTTTGTTTATTTGTATTTTCATAATCAGCAATGCATATTATATGTCATGGAGAAGTGATAATTGTGTTTTAATTATGTTTGATTTTTGGTTGCATGTGACCTTTAAGTATTATGAACGTCATATGAGCGAAATATTCTTAAGTGCTACGTTAAACCCCATTTCACCTCACCTACCAATACACACAAGACAATGTATATTTAAGAAATGAATTTCACATTGTGGTGGTTTTCTGGAGAAGGAAATCTTGAACCCTGCAAGTTTATATGGCGCAAACGCCGGAGAATGCCTTTATCCCCAAGTGAATTACCACAGTGTGAAATTGAATTCTTTTAAATTCGTAATTTGAAGTTTGAGTGATAGCAATGTGAACTGAACTGCATTCCTGCAGAGGTAGAAATGAACTGCATTCCTACAGAGGTAGAAATGAACTGTAATCCTACAGAGGTAGAAATGAACTGTATTCCTACAGAGGTAGAAATGACCTGCATTCTTGCAGAGGTAGAAATGACCTGCATTCCTACAGAGGTAGAAATGACCTGCATTCCTACTGAGGTAGAAATGAACTGTATTCCTACAGAGGTAGAAATGAACTGTATTCCTACAGAGGTAGAAATGACCTGTATTCCTACAGAGGTAGAAATGACCTGCATTCCTGCAGAGGTAGAAATGAACTGCATTCCTACAGAGGTAGAAATGAACTGCATTCCTACAGAGGTAGAAATGAACTGTATTCCTACAGAGGTAGAAATGAACTGTATTCCTACAGAGGTAGAAATGGCTTGCATTCCTACAGAGGTAGAAATGGCCTGCATTCCTACAGAGGTAGAAATGAACTGTATTCTTACAGAGGTAGAAATGGCCTGCATTCCTACAGAGGTAGAAATGAACTGTGTTCCTACAGAGGTAGAAATGACCTGTATTCCTACAGAGGTAGAAATGACCTGTATTCCTACAGAGGTAGAAATGAACTGTATTCCTACAGAGGTAGAAATGACCTGTATTCCTACAGAGGTAGAAATGACCTGCATTCCTACAGAGGTAGAAATGACCTGCATTCCTACAGAGGTAGAAATGACCTGTATTCCTACAGAGGTAGAAATGACCTGTATTCCTACAGAGGTAGAAATGGCCTGCATTCATACAGAGGTAGAATGACCTGCATTCCTACAGAGGTAGAAATGACCTGCATTCCTACAGAGACAGAATGACCTGCATTTCTACAGAGGTAGAAATGACCTGTATTCCTACAGAGGTAGAAATGACCTGCATTCCTACAGAGGTAGAAATGACCTGCATTCCTACAGAGGTAGAAATGACCTGCATTCCTGCAGGGGTAGAAATGAACTGTATTCCTACAGAGATAGAAATGACCTGCATTCCTACAGAGGTAGAAATGGCCTGCATTCCTACAGAGGTAGAAATGGCCTGCATTCCTACAGAGGTAGAAATGGCCTGCATTCCTACAGAGATAGAAATGACCTGCATTCCTACAGAGGTAGAAATGGCCTGCATTCCTACAGAGGTAGAAATGGCCTGCATTCCTACAGAGATAGAAATGACCTGCATTCCTACAGAGGTGCAGGTGGATAGAAATGACCTGCATTCCTACAGAGGTAGAAATGGCCTGCATTCCTACAGAGATAGGTACAGAGAATGACCTGCATTCCTACAGAGGTAGAAATGGGCATTCCTACAGAGGTAGAAATGACCTGCAGGAGGTTCCTACAGAGAAATGGGCTGCATTCCTGCAGAGGTAGAAATGACCTGCATTCCTTAGAAATGGCCTGCATTCCAACAGAGAGGTAGAAATGACCCTGCATTCCTGCAGAGGTAGAAATGACCTGCATTCCTGCAGAGGTGACCTGCATTCCTGCAGAGGTAGAAATGGCCTGCATTCCTACAGAGACAGAAATGACCTGCATTCCTACAGAGGTAGATAGAAATGACCTGCATTCCTGCAGAGATAGAAATGACCTGCATTCCTACAGAGGTAGAAATGAACTGTATTCCTACAGAGGTAGAAATGGCCTGCATTCCTGCAGAGGTAGAAATGACCTGCATTCCTGCAGAGGTAGAAATGACCTGCATTCCTGCAGAGGTAGAAATGAACTGCATTCCTACAGAGGTAGAAATGGCCTGCATTCCTACAGAGGTAGAAATGACCTGCATTCCTGCAGAGGTAGAAATGACCTGCATTCCTGCAGAGGTAGAAATGACCTGCATTCCTGCAGAGGTAGAAATGGCCTGCATTCCTACAGAGGTAGAAATGACCTGCATTCCTACAGAGGTAGAAATGGCCTGCATTCCTGCAGAGGTAGAAATGACCTGCATTCCTGCAGAGATAGAAATGACCTGCATTCCTGCAGAGGTAGAAATGAACTGTATTCCTACAGAGGTAGAAATGGCCTGCATTCCTGCAGAGATAGAAATGACCTGCATTCCTACAGAGGTAGAAATGAACTGTATTCCTGCAGAGGTAGAAATGACCTGCATTCCTACAGAGGTAGAAATGAACTGTATTCCTGCAGAGGTAGAAATGGCCTTCATTCCTACAAAGGAGAAATGACCTGCATTCCTACAGGATGGAAATGAACTTCATTCCTACGAGGTAGAAATGAACTGCATTCCTGCAGAGGTAGAAATGACCTGCATTCCTACAGAGGCAGAAATTACTTGCATTCCTACAGAGGTACACTACAAGGAATGCTGGCAGGAGCTCATGCTTCATGCCGTGAATTGTTTCCCATCACCTCTCGTGTTCACACCATCAATCAACATAAGCTCAATGTACGTTGCATTTGGTTTTAGAAATGTTTCAGGCAATCTTTCTTTGTCAGTGGGCGTCGAGATTCTTGGTGTATGGGTACAATGTATGAAGCCCATTTCTGGTGTCCCCCGCTGTGATATTGCCGAAATATTGCTGAAAGCAGCATAAAACCATACTCACTCACTTACTCACTCTTAGTGTAGTTTGGACTGATTCACGTTGAAGGAAAAGCCTATCACTGCTTCGTCGGTGTGCATCTTGACCGCTCGTACATTCACAGGGGCTTGTAGAGCAAACAAAAGACCTCTCGTACATTCACAGGGGCTTGAAGAGCAAACAAAAGACCATTCGTACATTCACAGGCGCATGTAGAGCTAACAAAAGACCGCTCGTACATTCACAGGGGCTTGTAGAGCAAGCAAAAGACCTCTCGTACATTCACAGGGCTTGTAGGGGCTTGTAGAGCAACAAAAGACCTCTCGTACATCCACAGGGGCTTGTAGAGCAAACAAAAGACCTCTCGTACATCCACAGGGGCTTGTAGAGCAAACAAAAGACCGCTCTCATACATTCACAGGGGCTTAGTACATCTCACAGGTGGCTTGTAGAGCAAACAAAAGACCTCTCGTACATTCACAGGGGCTTGTAGAGCAAACAAAAGACCTCTCGTACATTCACAGGGGCTTGTAGAGCAAACAAAAAGACCTCTCATACATTCACAGTGGCTTGTAGAGCAAAAAAAGACCTCTCATTACATTCACAGGGGCTTGTAGAGCAAACAAAGACCTCTCGTACATTCACAGTGGCTTGTAGTACATTCACAGGGACCTCTTGTGGCTTGTAGAGCAAACAAAAGACCTCTCGTACATTCACAGGGGCTTGTAGAGCCAACAAAAGACCTCTCGTACATTCACAGGGGCTTGTAAAAACAAAAGACCTCTCGTACATTCACAGTGGGTTGTAGAGCAAAAAAGACCTCTCGTACATTCACAGGTGGCTTGTAGAAGCCAACAAAAGACCTCTCGTACATTCACAGGGGCTTGTAGAGCAAACAAAAGACCTCTCGTACATTCACAGGGGCTTGTAGGAGCAAACAAAAGACCGCTCTCGTACATTCACAGGGGCTTGTAGAGCTAACAAAAGACCTCGTACATTCACAGGGGCTTGTAGAGCAAACAAAAGACCGCTCGTACATTCACAGTGGCTTGTAGAGCAAACAAAAGACCTCTCGTACATTCACAGGGGCTTGTAGGCTTGTAGAGCAAACAAAAGACCTCTCGTACATTCACAGGGGCTTGTAGAGCAAACAAAAGACCTCTCGTACATTCACAGGGGCTTGTAGAGCTAAACAAAAGACCGCTCGTACATTCACAGGGGCTTGTAGAGCAAACAAAAGACCGCTCGTACATTCACAGTGGCTTGTGGAGCAAACAAAACACCGCTCGTACATTCACAGTGGCTTTTAGAGCCAAAATCTGGCAAAGAAATATATGCTGTCACTGACTGGGTTTTAACATTGTTTTTTGCGTTACAAGCCCTTGTTTGTGCATAATTTACGCATAGGAAACTGACCGCCATCACCGAAGCCACTGAAAGAAGCGGCCTATAAATATATGTAAACCCGCGTCAGTGACTTTAGTCGGACGGATGAATCAACATGATTACATGATGACATGTGGCTGTGTCTTCACAACCAATGTGCTCTCCTCATGTATGACACAAACTAAACATATGTATGTAGCCAGCTCCTAGCGGTTTGGTACAATGTGTGTACATGTTTGTCTCAACGAAAACATGATTGCTGTATACAACACAAAGTTACCCCCAAACAATTGTCAGAGCAGCAATGACGGTGTCGTGATAATGGCAGACAGATGTTATATTTTATTTAAGTCTCACCTCATACAAGTATAACATATATAAATATTTACACGTATAAAATATACATTTGATGAGCTATCCCTTATTGGATTACGAGAGACCATTTTAAGAATACAAATACATACAATAGTTAAAACATGCTCACTATAATGTAACAAAAAGTCAACCTTACTTGTGATATAAAAGAGATGTTCTCTCCTCTAAGACATCCATGCAGGTTTTGGCACTAGATTTTAAAATATCTGGGTTTGATTTTATAAAAGCTAACTGATCAACAGGTGACATAAAATTAAAATCGTCTTTTATAACTGAACATAAACTTAGCATGTTCCTAGTGATATTTGTATTTAAGGGACAGTTAAAAAGCACGTGCACCTCATCCTCTATAACGTTGTTACAGTTAAAACAAGCTCTTTCCTCTAGCGGGACATTGTTGAGACGGCCTGTCTCTACGTGTAAGAGGGCTACTCCACATCTGAACATAGAGAGAGCCCTTCTTTGTTTTCTGGTCATCGTCTTGTTGATGTATTGTTCACGCCCATATTCCGTCTTGAAAGTAGCGTACCGTCTCAGTTTGTTACCTCCCTGACAGACTGTGAGCTGTGAGTACAGGTTAGAATATCTGCTTCCATTCCTTTATGTGTTGTTCCTTTAAACATCGCATCTTTGACCCTGTGTACTACTTGCTTGGTGTGAAGTCCATTGGTGACATCAAATAATTCATGCAAGGTTAGAGATGTAAGTTTAAGGCGAACTCTTTTAATCCAGTTAATCTTGTTCTTCAGTGCTAGTGATCTCCTCCACTGGAAGATTTTGTAGGTGAGTCGATCTCTGTGTAGACTGTTGGTTCTGGTGTATACTCTCATCACACTCCCCAGGTCTTCACACATGCAGGTGTCAGCCCATGTCACCCTCAACGGCCGCGTTCGGTGCGGTTTTCTTAAGTCCCATAAAACTTCATGGCCCTATTTTGTACAGTTTTGATTGCGGTTAGCGTCTTACTTCCCCATATAGCGGATCCATATTCAATGGTTGACCAAACCATGGAGTTGTACATTTTGGTATATGTTTTAATACCCATGCCTCCAAGTGACTTGAGTTTGGATATAAGCAGTCCAAGTGCCCGGGTTGCAGAGCTGGCAACTGCTTTCTCCATGCGGGTATAGTCCAAATGTTCTGTGATTAGAAGTCCGAGGTAGCAATAACTGTCCGCAATGTCAAGAATCACATTTCCACATTCAAAAAAAGTTGTCCTCGGGATTGATACGCTTCTACAGTGGAGAACCTTCGACTTGTCATTATTCAGTCATTTTGTTGACGTCACACCAATTTTGTAGGCAGTCGAGGAGAACTTTAAGGTCCGCTTCAAGGTCATCCGCATAGGCTAAAATACATATTTTCTCATCATTCAAAGTCACACCCATATCCAGTCCATTTAGAGTGACAATTAGGTCATTTATGTATATATTAAACAACAGTGGAGAGAGCAGACATCCTTGTTTTAGACCGCATCGCACATTGAACCATTCTGTAAGGCTTCCATTGACCCTTATAGAGCACTTCACACTTTTATACAAACATATGATTGCTTGATACATTTTCCCACTTATACCAATTTCTGATAATGGCATTGTTGTCAGTGTAACTAGGATTTTTACTCCAATTGGAACTTGGAGAAAATGAATACGTGTAGCCATTGCAAATGTCGACACAAACAATGTACCGACATTATACATGATCTTACACTTATAGCTGAAAATTGAAGTCGTATTGTCGCATTCTATTTCAGCACAAGAAACCTTGGTAACAAATATACAGTATATAGGTACAAAACCATGGTTTACATGTATGAGACAACAGTATTGAGGAATTGGAGCAGAGTATACATGTGTGAGATTGTTGTATATAATAATGGAAACATCCAACTGTACAACTGTGACACACAGGTATGAAACCATAGTATACATGTCAATGATCTGGACCATCTGATGTAGATAAGAGATCTTGCGATACCAGTCAGGGAATATGGTACACAGGTATGAAACCATGGTATACATATATGTCACCATGGTATACAGTAGTTACGGGACCAAGCATATGATATACATATATGGTACCATGGTCTATAGTAGTTACGGTACCATACGTATGATATACATATATGGCACCATGGTATATAGTAGTTACGGGACCAAGCATATGATATACATATATGGTACCATGGTATGCAGTAGTTACGGGACCAAGCATATGATATACACATATGGTACCGTGGTATGCAGTAGTTACGGGACCAAGCATATGATATACACATATGGTACCATGGTATATAGTAGTTACGGTACCATACATATGATATGCACATATGGTACCGTGGTATGCAGTAGTTACGGGACCAAGCAAATGATATGTACATATGGTACCGTGGTATGCAGTAGTTACGGGATCAAGCATATGATATACATATATGGTACCATGGTATATAGTAGTTACGGTACCATACATATGATATACATATATGGTACCATGGTATGCATTAGTTACGGACCAAGCATATGATATACATATATGGTACCATGGTATATAGTAGTTACGGTACCATACATATGATATGCACATATGGTACCATGGTATGCAGTAGTTACGGGACCAAGCAAATGATATGCACATATGGTACCGTGGTATGCAGTAGTTACGGGACCAAGCATATGATATACATATATGGTACCATGGTATATAGTAGTTACGGTACCATACATATGATATACATATATGGTACCGTGGTATGCAGTAGTTACGGGACCAAGCATATGATATACATATATGGTACCATGGTATATAGTAGTTACGGGACCAAGCATATGATATACATATATGGTACCGTGGTATGCAGTAGTTACGGGATCAAGCATATGATA